CCTTACCTGGGAAGCAAGATTTTGATTGTTAAAGGTGTATCTCTATATATTCTTTTCCTGGGAAGCAACACATTTTGATTGTTATAGGTATATCTCTCTTTATATATTGTTCTTTTCTTGGGAAGCAACATATTTTGATTGTTAAAGATATATATCTCTTACAGGTTTTATTACATAAATCATGGCTCTAACTCAAGCTTTCTTTCCTTGGATCATCCCTTGTTCCTTTCCTGGGAAGCAAGATAACTTCTGATTGATTAATTGACTCAAATTGTTGTTGACTCTTAGTAATTAAATAGATTTTCTCTGTGTCAATTTATCCCTTGCTATTTTGGTCCTTCAAGTCTTCCAATGGTACACCCACTGGCACTTTAACTGAGCCTATCCACATTACTATTGGTTTTCTTCTCTTTCCTTTCACCCTTTTCAGCATTATTATCTTTTCTAGAAAGTTAGATCTTCGCATAAAGTGCCTGAATTAAAATGATTTGAGCCTGGTCTTTTGTGTTTCAAGTGAGAATTGGTGTTCAGTGATCCATTTTGTTTGTTTTCTTGGCTATTCCAGCTATTCTTGTGAGTCTTCTCCAACATCAAATTTCAAAAGTAGCAATACTCTTCCTACTCTGCCTCCCTAAAGTCCAACATTTCCTTCCATAGAAAGGTATCTCCTTTCACAGATTCAATCTTTAGCAGTCTGCACTCTATGAATCTGTGACTTGGATACTGCTCCTTCAGGACCAAATAGTGCTCATCAAAGAGCTGTCTCTCATCAGCCTCATCCAAAAATCAGAGTTTCTTCATCTTCTGAAGAAAATTTATCAAAATCTTAGTAATCAAAATACAATATATTCCATTCTCACATATTCTTTAACGCAGTGGTTCTCAACCTTTTTAATGCCACGACCCCCAACCGGTCGTAAGCCGAGGACTACTCTACTGGTGCAGCACCGTTTGCAGAATGGGACTTTTGGCGGGCTCAGCAGGGCAGAGACAGCCTGGACAATTCCTATTGGCTATTGAAAGCCAACAGAATTAGACTCTATTTAAGAGTCTATTCTATTGGCTTTCAAAAGCCAATAGAATAAAAGGGAATAGCACAGCTAAGGAAAAGGGGGAAAAAATGGTGGACTGCATTGTTTGGCGAGCCCGTGAAATGGTCGTTCAACCCACAGGTTGAGAACCACTGCTTTAACGGATCTTTAATGGGTAACAAAGGAATTCCTTGGGTTCAGCAATTCTATGCCTCCTCTTCCTATGATATTCAGTAAAATGTCTCCATGGGAGAGAGAAAAGTAGCATTTTGCCTATTGCCCAACTCAAGTGAAGTGGTCCTACATTGGCAGCATTGCTGTTGGAGGCTGTAATAAATAAAAGTCAGGTAAGACACTCCAAAATATCTAAATGGCAGGAAAAAGGAGACAACCATCTGCCACAGCAGACTGAACTCATGTGTTGAGCTGCAGAAGGGAAAGGAGAAATTGCCCACCTCTCAAATTTCTACTAAAGAAAGTAGTTATTAGCAGAACAAAAACTCGTATTATATATCATCCAGCTATAATAGAACTTCAGGTTTCTTCCTATCACTACCCAATAATTCGTTTTGTTACCACCAAAATGATATGGAACTGACCATTGACTAATACAAATATTTCAAAAGGAGTCTCTCTTCCCCCCATTGTTGTTAATAATGTGAATAATGTTGTTGTTAATAATGTGAATAATGATGTTTTAGGAATCAAGCTGAGAAATCAGCAACATACCTTAATTTCTTTCTACCATGACGACTACTTTTAGGGAACAGCAAGGTTTTCTTTATTCAGGAATTTAGAATAAATATTTGATTTGGAATAATTAATGAATACATTGAATTGTTTGAATGTATTCTGTGTTTGTTTAACTAGGAGTAAATTGAACATATTGCAGCTATGATAGGACTTGCACTCCTTCAGGTATGTCATTGCTCACTTGCAAGAAGCAGCAAAGCCCAACAAAGCCATATCTCAAAATCCTAGAGATTCTCTACTTTAGTAGCTGTAAGTTAAAGGGAAAAGAAACAAGCCATTTCTAATTTATGGCAAAACATTTCTCTAGGTATACAGCTTAAATACCAAACCGGACAAGTCTTACATAGAAATGTATACAAAGACACGGCACCATGAAAAGTAGAAAGAGGAAGGATATGTGGGTCCATCAAGTGAAGAATTTATCATGGAGAAATGAAAATTGTGAAAAACAAGAGTTCTTCCTAATGCTTTCCTACCATCGATGGAGAAATAGCTATGGATAGTTATTTTCTCATCTGAAAAAATGTGTTGAAAGCTTACTACACTATAGACAAAAAAGGAGGTTAAGGCAAGGGATAAAAACACCTCCATATTTTTTTCTTGGTGTCTCTCTCATGGCTCTTTTGGAGTTCCAAGCCCTTAGTCCAATAGTTAACTAGCAGTTTTTTCTGGTAGTTTCCCAACTGGCATCTGTTGTGCCTCAGTTGGAGCGATCACACTAAAATCAATGTGCTGTTGAACATCTTGAGATGATGAATGTTTCCTGTAAAGTGGACAAGCAATTGTTGGTTCCAGATGACATGATTTAACAGCCAACTGCCACCAAATTAGGTTCCATGCTTTTCCCTCAATATAATTAGCATGTCCAAACTGTTATGGGAATCACTAGTTTCAGATTTTCCTTTTCTGATTATGGACAAAACTATCCAATTTCTGTAGAACACAATTCACACTGGTAATTCTTATCAGTATGACATCTGAATAAGGAAGGAGCTTGCTTTACATGGTTTTAACTTCAATTGGATTATCAGTCAATACTATGCCCTTATTTTGCCCTCTTATCTACTTTTGTAATGGCAACATTTTCATATTACAAAAGCCTTTCATTACAAGGGACAGCCCAATACTGGTTTATCTATTTTGCATTACAGCCATAATGCCCATCGATATCTCACAGCTGCAATAATAAATATCTATAAACATAACAGTTAAATTATGTCTCCTTTGATAAGGTAACTCCGACTTGCATTTGGAGGATAAGGAACTTTAATAAAAACCATTAATTCTGCCATTCCGGTAAGCATATTCTCTCTTGGATAACATGATCTTTGCCATTTCTGAATCACATGACCAGTATATGCATTTGAAATGCCATGTTGAAGACTTACATATTCAAGTAGTGTTTGACAGAAGAGCACACAGAGGCAATCATTTTGACCAGACATCTAGATATCCTTCCTAGCTTCCTTTATTGCTATTATGCTTATGGTCTCATTTCATTTTTTAAAAAACAAAACAAGACAAAAACAAAATCATTTAAACTACAGAAGAAAATAGAATGAGCATAAACATACACATATATTACATCTAGAAGGTTTTCAATACTTTAAAAAAATGTTCCCTTTCTATACCTGTGGGACAAATTTTTAAAACCATTTTCATGAATGTGCAATTTGAAAGATACAAAAAAGTCCTCATGGCCTAAATGATTACACTTCATAATTTTCCCTGCTTCTATTTAAAAATAAAGAGAGAATTATACATTTTTGCTATGTCTGGAGAACACTGGGTAGATTGACTGTCTTCATTCCAATGTTTAATTCTACTTGAACATACAGCATTTTCATTTGTAAATAACTACTCTGAAGAGAGAGAAAGAAAGGGACAGATCATGGCCTGTACAGTAGAACCAGCTAAATAGACATCTTTAATCTCATAACATGATGAAATCATTATAGATTACAGATCATTTGTTAAGTGAGTATGCATGCAGTCTTCTTTGATATCGTCACCAGCAGAGGAGCACTGAATATGCCTCACATTCTTTCAACCGCTCTTGCTGTCCTACTTTTTATAGCAGACTCTGGACTGTCAATCAGCTTGCCTGGCATCAATGATTCAGTCCATGTGACAGCATTTCACCCCCTGGACTCCCATCACCATCAATACCACCCTCCCAAACCCCTAAATCTAGCTCACAACAGGAGCTGCTGCAGCCTTCTTTCAGCCGCAGGAGATCACAGTGAAACGTTTGGAGATGCATGACATGTTGTGGAGGACAATACCGAGGAGAAAAACTAGGACACAGGCCACCAGGATGACAGTGCAAACCCCTGACCAGGTGGAGCTTTTCACAATGCCTCTCTGGTCTTGCTCCTCATCTCCTGTAACCTGCGGCATCCCAGCCTGCAGTGGTTGTTGCTCGGCTGGGATCGTGACCACAGTGAGAGACTTCTGCTGGCTGCTTGGCAAGAGACGACAGCCAATGTCTCCAGGCAATAAAGACCTCTCTTTGGAGATGGGCAAGGGCAACATGTAACACCCATTGCTAGGAAGTTTGATGAAGACTGGAGTGTGCTCTGAAGTGTGGGGTATTGCAATCACGGCAACGACCTCTGGATCATCTGGCAACTGGGAGACAGAAAACCCAGGTGGGAGTTTAGTGATACCTCGGCACCATGGACACCTCAGGTCCTTCTGGCTGGTCCTCATCTGCTGAAGGCAAACTGAGCAACAAGTATGCTTACAGTCCAGTAACTTGGGTCTCCTCCTTGGGCTATAGTAATTGAAACAAATCTGACACTCCAGCAGGATGTCCTGGGACAGAGTCTCCATGGTTGCCCAACTATTGAAAAGCAAAAGGTATCACGTTGACTTGCAGTCCAGTCTGAAAACCCAGTGTCCAGAGCTGTTCTTGTCCTCCCACGATGGCTGCTTTGTATTCTGCTACCAAACAAATGAAGGCATGAAGTCTAGAAGGAAGCATCTGACTGGACATCCATCAGTATCTGAGGGGGGGAAAAATAATGAGAATGAACATAAAGATCTGTTAAAATACCAGAGGGAAGAAGAGATTTATGAATGCAGAAGAACAGAAACTTGAGACTCCCCCTAAGCATTGTCACAACAACAGCAATTATAAAAAAGAGCAGGCTGCAGCCAAGTAAAAATCTTTAAAGAAAACCTTTCAAGCTAATGCCTGAACCTCCATGTTTATTCAGCCAGTAAAAAAATACTATTTGCTTGCAGGAAAAAAAGAGAGAAGAGTGATTAATTATTATGAGCTTTAAGAAGCAGCTCCATAATTTGTTTAACAAAGTACTGAATGATACAAGGCAAGTAGAAGAAGACACATTTAAGCAACTTCTCAATCAATATGTTGCAAGTTATCACATGTCATTCTCATATATGCATTGTATGATCTTCTGTTGCATTTTAATGCAAATCCCCATATGCACAGTACACCTTAGGTATAGTGTAAGAACTCACTGAAATGGATTAGAACAGACTTCTCCAATCTCATTCTTTGGCATGGCTTTGCTTGCTGGATATTCTAGGAATTGTATCCCAACTGGTTTAGCCAGATACTGCTTGGGTTTGGACAAGGCACCAAAACATACGTTTAATAATACAGCAACATTTTGATTCATGCAACATTTTGACTCATGCCCAAAGCAATCCTTGGGCAATGAAACCAGCAGTTCTATTGTTATGATAATGGCATGAAGTCCTCTACATTATCTTGTAAAGGAGGACTTGAATGGAATGATACTCTGGACAGGATCAGTTTCATGATTTTTTCCTTCTGTTCTGATCATCATATTCTTTTCTGTCTAGATAATGATCAAATAGAAAGATCATCACAGTCATGCTAATTCTATTTAACTTCTCTTTTTTAATGTTTGGGAAATGCTATGGAAGCATAACTTGTGCACCATACAAGTCAAATAGGGAAGCCCATTGTTGGTAACAGTATGGGAAGTGGTTAAGTAATAGTAACAGACCTAACAGCAACTTTTCCAGAACGTCACAAGCATCATGTCTGAACTGTACCACAAAAGCCCAAGCAGCTTAATTCTGTGTTTAGATTGTTGGTAGAGTTTTTCAGCCTTATAATAGTGGGAAATTTCAACCTCATTTTTTGAGTGTGAAGAATGAAGCAGTGTGGGAATTCATGGCCACCATGGGCCTGATCCAGATTATTTGTTTTTGTTAATCAAATTTATACCATGCCCATCTCACTATTGAAGAGACTCTGAGAGGTTGACATAGAAATTAATGAAGGTCAAACACTCGTTGTGAGTTATACCAGTGGATCTGTTTTTTGTCTTATTGCTGTGGTGATGTGATCAGGATTTGAGGGATGCTAACATCCATCCCAAACAATTCTCTGATTACTGCAATCCTTGCTATGCCTTGTATTCTTTCCCTTCTCCTATTCAAATCTACGTGATGCTGTTGAGAGAGGGTTAGGGGTTGTAATGTAATGTAATGTAAAAATATATGATGCATTTGTATGAATCATATCACATTTCTTATATTCTAATCCTTTATTAGTCTGCAGGAGTTACATTGCAAATGGATGGACATGCACATTTATATAAGAAACATATTTCTTCAAATGCAGTTACTGAAGAATAAAATATCAATTAAAACATTAAAAGCAAAAGGGTGATCAAAGTTGTAGCTAACATTTTGGAAATAACTCTTGAGATATTTAAGAAAACAATTCTTAATGGAATGGGGTTGCAGGATTACCCTGGGGCGTTACCACATTGGTAACATCCTAGAAAATAATGACATAAACTTCTGAATAGTCACTGTGAAAGCAGGAGGGATTACTAAGCTTTAATATATTATTTTTGATGTTGTTTGCATTGCCAAAGAAATATTTAGATTGTTTTGATCAGTCCACCACAATAGATCTACAATAAAACACAAAACCAAGACATGGAGAAGGTGAGATCATTACGATACTACTAAGTGAATGCTAAAGTGATTCCAGTTCTTTTGGTAAAGATGGTGTGAGTGTGGGTATCTGCATGTACACACACACACACACACACAAAACACTCTTGGGGAAAAAGTGATGTACAAAATAGTTACAAACATTACAAAACGGAAATACAGGTTATATCTAAACAGGTAGCACAGTAAGCCAACAGAATGGATTTCAGGCAATAAAAGTGGAAGAAAACACAGGAGAAGAGCATCTTCCTCCTAAAACAGCTTGTAGTATATTAAGTCAAAATATTCTACAGTAGTTTGGGTTTTGGTAGTAGAGAAGTTTGCCACATGGACTCGTGCAAAAAAAAAAAAAAAGTAGCCATCCACCATTTGTTTATGTCTAATATATTTCTGTAGAAGGCCTGTTTTAGCATCTCCTTCTAATAGACTACTATTTTAATTTTGTTTGTTTGTCTTTCAATGGTTCGGGCAGGGCAAACCCTGAGTTATTTAAAATAATTCAAGAATCTTAGAACAAAGATAAATAAAAACAGTTTCTATCAAATCCCTAGTAGGGTATTTTATGGTCCAGTGGCCATAAAAGGCACGGCAAATCTAAATTTAGCACAATTTCAGTACCTCTATAGCCCAGCTCGCTACTCTTAGATTAGAGCAGCATATACATGTAAATCTTAGGCAGCAAAAGTAAATAAATATGCAGATTATCTCTGTATGTGTGTGCTTATGCATGAGAGTATGCACATTATGCGTGCATGCACACGTACATAATGCTACCAAATACTATAAGCCACTACCTTAATTCAGAGATACTTTAAAATGCATTGAAATTATTAATACATAATTTCAATAAAACACATACAGCAGAGGTTCCCACAATGACTTGATTCATGGTGCCCTGAGTGTCTCGGGAATTTTTTCCAGCACTCCTAGGCCAAAATTATGTACTACCTCAAGCTAGCAGTTCACATGGGGTAACATTTTAAATTTGCCGTAGCACTCATGTGAGTTTGCTGCAGCACCCCGGGGCATCATAACACACACTTTGGAAAGTGCAGATTTAAAGTGATTTTAAAATTCAATCTTCAATATCATTTTGGTGCCTTTTGAAGCTTTTCTTTTGCAATGAATAAAGCAGTTTTTCTTCAGAGAAAAAGGGCAGCAAGAGGAGAGATTCTGAATGTCTTCAGGCTTTGCAGTTATGGATTCAGAAATATAACCAGTTGTGGGGTCCTGGGTGCTCTCTGATCTTGGTTGTTTTCTTGCAGACATTTCTTGCCAACTAAGTAGCATCTTCAGTGCTAGTCAAGTTGTGTACTGTGGAAGCCAGATAGAGAATCAAATGACCTTTGATGATATAAAGCCTGAGTTAAAGTACAGATTGTACTTTTTTATCTGAACCCTCCTCAGACTGAGAACACACACACACACACACACACACACACACACACACACACTCATACATGCACTTCATAACCCCAATACTTTTCTGGTTAGTTTAGACTGAGAAATAGCTGCTGTACAAGGGTTAAAATGGATTTGAACTTACATCCACTGCATCTTAATTTATATACAGCGAGACTACAACTTGGTCTAGTTTTTCCAGACCTAGCACTCCCAGATGTGTTGGCATGGCAACTTCCAGAAAACCTATCACATCAGAAGTCTGAATACACCTAGAGGTACCCACTTCAAGGAGACTCGTGTAAGCCACATTCACACACAACCCAATACTCGGAAAAATCTGGGATACTCATCCCATCAATAGAGCGGTTTGTGCTTGCACAAATTTGCTCCAATCTTATATGAAGGTATAGCTGACTTCAGCAGCAGTCAAAAGCACTGTTTTGTCATTAGTACTTTGGACTATCTGATGACAGCCAAGAAAATATTGCTGACTGAGACAACTGAGAAAGACAGTCAGGGATATCTTTAGAACTCTTAAAGGACGAAGAGTAGGAAGAGAGAAGGGCTGGAAGGCAGTGATACTCAAGTGAGACCAAAAGACAGAGACAATCAGAATCATGATTAATATCCTTGGTTAGTGCAGATTTCATAGCAGCTGAAAGCTCTGCAGGCTGAGCTATATCTACTAATGTTAATAAAAGCTAATGGTGTATGAAAAAACCACGGGCAAAAGTCTCCAAGGAAGAGACAGAGGTGCATTAACAGCAGAAAAGAGTAAGGGGAGGGGGGCAAAAAAAAATCACAAATTAGTTTAAACTAATTTTCTGTAAGAAAAAAAAGATTATTAAAAGTGACATTGTTCCTGAAATGTAAATGCAGTTCTTCACAGTATGCCTGCTGCTCTCGTGAAAGAGATTGCTAGCAAAGTCCCCAATGACTCTTGAAACTGCAAACTCTGGACAAGGGTATGCATTTATACACACACTGCTGTTCGGCAAGGATAAGATCAAGCTTGTAACTAGGCAGCATATTACAAAGTTTCACCTTTACCAAGGAAGTTTCGGTATGCAAATTCCCCATATATATTAAGCTTCCTTAGAAACCATTACAGACTATGCATGATTTACAGTATGGCACTGTTTGCTGCCCTAAGGCCATGTGGGGGGGGGGGTTAGGGCAGAAGACAGGAAAGAGGAATATAATATATAAACAGGATGCATATGTTTGAGTCTTCACAAATCAATTTATAATTCCCACCCTTCTGCTATAAAAGTATCTTCAACACTTTCACAAACAAGTTCAGGGTTAAAATCTTGATTTCATTTATTCTGAAGCAAGGGAATGAATTCTTGTGCTCTTGGAGGTTAACTGGATGTTTTCTCAAAATATTCTTCCCCTTATTTATGAACCTTCCTGTGGCATCAATTGCCCACAGAATCTCAGCAGTATACAAAGAAGAACAAATCATCCTCCTATGTAAAAGGAAACAACTAGATCTAAAACTACAAGAGGAACCTAGTATAACTATTGTCTGATAGGTCAGGTCTGGTTAGATACTAACTTGTGGAAAATCACCAAGCAAGTGTGTTATGTACACTGTTTGCTTCTTTTTAACAACTCAAATAACTTACATAGGTACATGTGAGCTTTTCAAACAAATGCATATGGACAGAGAGATAGGGATGAGATTCCAACTTCTGGAGCATCTTGGAAGGTTTGTCTAAAGTAAATAGATAGGCCAGTTTAGAGTTTCTGATTATACAGCATCCATACCATTTTGCACCTAATGTACTGTATAAAAGGCAGAAGGAGAACATTACTATCACTTTTTTTTTAATTGGTGGTATTAATATCCCTTGTTTTCTAACTGCTCAGGACATTTGTCTTTCGGATGGTGTGTAAATTAAACAGCCACTTGTGTTCTATAGCCATTTAAGAAGGAACAAAATGAACGTGTTGCTGTGCTATAAAACCACTTATAAGAGTTTATGAGTAGATGGCTGGGCACAGGTGTCAACGGAATATTGGGGATTGTTATTTTTTTAATCAAATTCTACCATAGTGAAGAACAAGAATATTACCAGCATGGTATTCTCAGATAAGAGCTTTTCTTTCTAATAAAATATCTTCTCTTGTTTAGCTCCCAAGAAGTTGTCAGCATAAACACTTGTATTACACACTTGTTTGTAATAATAAGTACCAAAACTCTGCAGGTATTGGCAAGTTTCTGCTCAAGAAGCATCCAGGAATTCCCAATAACTACCAGCAAGACATTTAGATCCCTATAGGCAGAAAGGTAAAATAGGAATAACAGACTTCAATAAATAAACCTTGTGCATAGTCTTGAAAAAGAAGATGGTCTGGAACTGGACCGCCTCTTGGATAAATTTAATTTCAATGTGACTTCAGGTCTCATGTGAAGAAGACAAAAATGTCTTCACCCTGATGGATGATCTATGCATGAAGAGAGAAGGGCTCTTGGTCTTTCTAATTTCCTTAGATATTCAACTATTTTCAACAGAACTAAGGATAGTTCCTGTCATGATGGCACTCTGGCTTGGGAATTGTAGATACTGTACTATACTTCAATTGCTTTATCCCTACTTGAAGGTCCAAATGTTTGTCCCATGAGCTGTATCTTGTGGAAATGAAATCTGATAGATACCTGCAAATGCTATGAGAGAGAGAGGAGGGAAAATTGGTTTGACATCAGCTTTTCTATTCTTCCAGTAGGAGCCAAAAATACTTCTTTGGCTTCAGATTTTCAACAGGTAGTTTACCAAGTTTTTCATTTGCTCTGCTGAAGTTTTATGTGGCATTTTTAAATCATATCAGTCTCCGTTTTTTTATTTTTTACTTGTGCTTTATCATCCTTATTAAAGAGTGCTACAATCATTTTGGGGGCTAACCATTTCTTAACCTATTTTGAAAACACTCTTTTTAAGAAAGCAAGACACTTACAATTCCCTGTATAATTCTATCCATCATTCAGTAGATATCTGATGGGTGTGATGGCTCAGCACCCATAAAAATATGGATGAGCTAGTCATATGGAAAGCTGACAGCTTGGGTTTAAGACTCAAGCACCCCATGATGGGGTGAACTCTCGTTACCTGCCCCAGCTCTAGTCCACCAACAGTTTGAAAGCATAGTGATGGCGCAGTGGTTAGAATGCAGTATTGCAGGCTAACTCTGCCCACTGCAGAGTTCGATCCTGACTGACCACAGAAATGTCTTCAGACAATGGTGGCTCTCTCAACTAAGAAACAATGGTGAGAACCACATCCTAGACTAAGACATGACTGGACAGGGAACTTTACCTTTACCTTTTTATGGGCAAAAGGGAAAAATAAATCCTCCTTGTCTTCTCAGTCAACATCCAATTTTAGTATTCTCTTCACAGATACTCTGCCCAATAAAGCAATTTCAGTTAAAATAAATTACTTTACAAAAACTCTTCTTACCAATTGAGCATCAGTCTTCCCAGGTAGACCAGGCAAGAAACACAATCAGATAAGCTAATTCTACTTTATTGTAAGGCTTCATTAATAGAATCTTGCAAATCTGACAGTACAAATCTCCTGCCGATTCTTTGACAGTCTGAGAAATTAGTGAGGATCTTTTCTGAGTTTTTCTCTGCCCATTAGACAGCTGCAAGCTATGCCCCCTCTTATCTGATCTTTCCCTAGACAGCAACTCTTCACACACAGCACACACAAATACACACAAACAGAGATCCCCCAAGGTCATTCTCACGTACCATTTCACATAGATTGCCAGATAATCAAGCTGAAATCATATAGAACCAGGATATTTTAAGTTGGCCAACTTATTACAGAAATTAATCAATCAATAAAGGAATCTCTGTTCAATTATAACTGTATCATTACACTAAGGGTCAGGTTTCATTACTCCATGGAGTCAAATTTCTCATCCTTTAAAAATCTGGAAACAGACAAAGGTGAGTAAAAAGTCCAATGACGCAAGAGTGAAACCCAAAGGTGCAAAGCACAGGTAGTCCTCAACTTACAACAGTTCATTTAGCGACCGTTCAAAGTTACAACAACACTGAAAAAAAATCATTTAGGACCGTTTTTCATTCATATGACCTTCGCAGCATCCCCATGGTCACATGATCAAAATTCAGATGCTTGGCAACGGCACTGACGTATGACCGTTTTTCAAAGTTGCGACTTTTGCAGCATCCCTATGATCATGTAATCAAAATTTGGATGCTTAGGAACGGGTTCATATTTGTGATGGTTGCAGCGTCCCAGGATCACGTGATCCCCTTTTGCAACTTTCCGACAAGCAAAGTCAATGGGAAAGCCAGATTCACTTAACAACCGTGTTACCAACTTAACAATTGCAACGATTCACTTAACAGCAGTGTCAAGAAAAGTCATAAAAGGGGGCAAAACTCAGTTAAGGGGCGTTGTCTTACCTGAACGCCTTTTCTCATCAGGATGATGTAGAGTCCAATGGATGGGTTCTATGACAGCCTTCCTGCCCGGCAGACTGGGTAAAAACTTTGGCCACACCCCTTCCTTTGGGCGTGACCCCAGTTTTGACTTAGGCGAGAAACTTTGTTGGAATTGATATTGCAGCTCTTTCTTATATACCTGCCTAGACCTAGCCCCTGGGTGGGCTTGGACTCTACATCATCCTGCTGAGAAAAGGCGTTCAGGTAAGACAACGCCCCTTCTCCAGCAGGATGGCTGTAGAGTCCAATGGATGGGACATACCAAAGCCCTCATGTCCCCTTGGGAGGGAATGTCTAGGCTACCAAATTCTGAGCAGACACGACTTGCTGTAGCACTCTTCTACCAAAAGCAGCATCTGCTGCGGCAAGGGAGTCTAAACGGTAATGCCGAATGAAGACGGACGGTGAAGACCAAGTTGCTGCCTTG